GTGTGCGTGTGCGTGTGCGTGTGCGTGTGCGTGTGCGTGTGCGTGTGCTTTTATGGGTGCCTGCAGAGGCCAAAAGAGGACATTAGATCCCTTGCAGCTGGAGTTACAGATGTTTGTAAGCTATCTGATGTGGGTGTTGGAATTGAATTCTGGTTATCTATAAGAACAAGTCATGCTTTTAACCACTGAACCATCTCTCCAGCCCTGTATTTTTTGAGACAGGGTCTCATAGCTTTGAACTTCGTAATCCTTCTACCTTTAAAGTACTGGTACTATGGTGTTGGACACTGTGTCCAGTTCACTAGATGCTGGGGGTGGAGCCCAAGGCTTCACACACACTGCGTAAGCTCTTCTACCAGCTGAGCTACCTGGTCTGCCCCTGAAGTTCCTTTTTTTTGTTGTTTGGGTTTTTTTTTTTGTTTGTTTGTATGTTTTTGTTTTTTGAGACAGGGTTTCTCTGTATAACCCTGGCTGTCCTGGAACTCACTCTGTAGACCAGGCTGGCCTCGAACTCAGAAATCCACCTGCCTCTGCCTCCCAGGTGCTGGGATTAAAGGCGTGCGCCACCACTGCCCGGCCCCCCCTTTTTTTTTATAACACATGGTTGTAACTGGCCATGTGGTGCTGGAAACTGGGTCCTCTGTAAGAGCAGCAAGCGCTCCACCCCCGGCCCTCTCTGAGGGCCCATTTTAAACATGAGCTGTGTTTAGCTTCTAAGGCTGCCCTAATAGCACTCAACAAGGACTTTAGGCACGGAGCTTTGTACACTGACAGTTCTGGAACAAAGAGACCCGTGGTATAGGCAGGGCCACTTCTTTCCAAGAACTGTAAGGGAAAGGTCTAGCCTGGTGGCTCTCAACCTTCCTAACACTGAGACCTTTACATGGTTCCTCATGTGCGGGGACCCCCAACCATACAATTATTTTTGTTGCTACTTCATAACTATGATTTTGCTGCTGTTATGAATCTGAATAATATAAATGTCTGATACGTGGCCCCTGTGAAAGGGCTGTTCAACCCCAGGGGGTTGTGACCCATGAGTTGAGAACTGCTGTCCCAGCCTCTCTGGTATGTAGAGGCCTCTGTCGGGTGCTGGATGGAGTCCGATGGCACACCCTGGGTAGCAGTGTGCAGATGGGATGCGCCACAGGACTGGTGTGTGGGCTGGGCTCTGGCTTCCCCCATGCTCAGATCCCACGTGGTCTTCATGAGGCCCCTGCTCGGGGCAACTCAACTTCATCCTCTCTAAACTTTCCCAGTTCCCTGACATTGTGGAATTCTGCGAAACGATGGCCAATGAAGGCAAGACAGTGATTGTGGCGGCGCTGGATGGAACCTTCCAGAGGAAGGTAAGGATGTCTGACCCTGGCTTGCAGCGGGTCCTGAGAGGGGAGAACTTTTTTTTTTTTTTTTTTTTTTTTTTTTTTTTGGTTTTATGAGACAGGGTTTCTCTGTGTAGCCCTGGCTGTCCTGGAATTCACTCTGTAGACCAGGCTAGCCTCGAACCCTTGAACTCAGAAATCCGCCTGCCTCTGCCTCCCAAGTGCTGGGATTAAAGGCGTGCGCCACCACGGCCCGGCCTTGTATGCTGAAGTAGGTGTGTTCAGAATAGAAGCTGTTGGCTGGTGGGTGGGCTGAACTAGCCACAGGGTAGAGAGCAGGAGGGTGTGGTTCTCTAGAAAAGCAGGAGCAGTAAAGTATGATGGAGCCTGAATCATGGGGTTTAAAAGAGAAGCGTTGGGGCTGGGGAGAGCTCAGGCTGTAACATGCTTGCCTTGCAAAGCACACAGGCTTGTGTTAGATCCTCTGAACTTTTTTAAAAATGACATCACTGGGAGACAAAGACAGGCAGCAAGCTCACTGGCAAGCCGACCTACACTATAAGCTCCAAGCCAGTGAGAGACCCTGTTTCCAAAAGAACCAAGGTAGACAGTGCCAGAGGAACCGAGGTTCCTCTCTGGCCTACACGCGCACGCACACACACACACACACACACACACACACACACACACACACGAACACAGGCAGAGGAGGGAAGTCCCTGGCTAACGTCACTGGACGTGCCTGCTGTCCTCTGTGCAGGCTTTCGGTAGCATCTTGAACCTGGTGCCCCTGTCCGAGAGTGTGGTGAAGCTCACCGCTGTATGCATGGAGTGCTTCCGAGAAGCTGCCTACACCAAGAGGCTGGGCCTGGAGAAAGAGGTATCTCTCCCTGCTTCTGCCCAAGTTGTGGGGTGGGTTTAGGCTTTGGCTTCTGAGTCTCTCCCTCACATGTCCCTCCCACCAGGTGGAGGTGATTGGTGGAGCAGACAAGTATCACTCTGTGTGCCGCCAATGCTACTTTAAGAAGCCTTCAGCACAGACTGCTGTGCTAGACAACAAAGAGAACTGCCCGGTGCTGGGGCAGTCTGGAGAGGCCTCGGCTGTCAGGAAGCTCTTTGCCCCTCAGCAAGTCCTACAGTACAACTCTGCCAACTGAGAGGACCTGAGGCCTGCCAGCTCCTACCCCAGGTTGGACTCTCAGAGAGCAGGGGGAGGGGCAGGGCCTGCCGTTCCTAATGGACACTGTGCCCTGGACAGGCTTGTCATCCGCTTGGTGAAGCCTTTTAGTTCTCTTCTTGGTTGCTCAGATGCCTCAGCGCAGACTGGAGCCCAGACCCTGCCTGGTAGCTAGGGTCCCACATTCAGTCAAAGGTGAGGACAGAGCTGCCCAGCATTGTGACACTGATGGTGCTAGCTTCTTCCTTGTTGGTGGCTTTCACGGCTGGTTTCAGTCTCAGAGCCCCACCCCTTACCAAGGCTCCAGCCCTTGCACAACGCCCCCATTTGTGCCTAAACATGACCTAGGCTGCCACTGTGTCCCCCAGAACTAGCCTTTGACGTGAGCCAAGAGAGGATGTCTCTCGTGCTTCGTTGTGCAAAATGAACAATATTAAAGCTTACCACTTAATGAGAACGTGTTTCTCCTTAGCCTGGGTTTCCCTAACTTGCAACTGGTGCCCACATGACTTGGGGGTAGAAATTTATGTAATACCATCCACCACAGCCCAAGAGGAACAGTCACCCACATTTCTATCTGGTTGATTTCAGGACAAAAATGGCAAAGGAACCTGCTAGGAGAGTCAGATGGTGTTTCCAGCTGGTACTGGGAGGTCAGGTTTTGTGAGACAGACACTTGATAACTTGAGAAAACAGCTCAGATAGGCCTTGGAAAGTGGGCAGGGTGGCACTTGAGGACCAGAGACCTGGGTCTAAGGTGCCGGTGTGCCACTGGTGCTGTGCCCAGCTTGCCTGCCATCTAGCTCATTAACCACTCAAGGTAAGCTCTACAGAGGAGACCCACAGCTCCCAGCCTGGCTGTTAGCTTACTTGAGATTCTGAAAGACACTATCAACAGTCTCATGATTGCACAAGAGTTACCTCAGGGGCATGCTGCTTCCTGACAGAGACGGGTCCACTCCCTGCCAGGTCCCTGCAAGGTGTCAAGAGGGGTCAGAGTCAACCTCAGAGGGGCAGCACCCAGGGGCCCCTGGCAGACAGCAGAACCCTGGCAAGCTGTCCAGAACAATCCGTCTTAACAAGCTGACATGGTGGCTATTTTAGGATGCAGTGGAAGGCAGTGTGAAGAATGAGACCCCATTGGGGAAGCTGCCACCCCAAGTTCAAAGAACATGGTCTAGCTGGATGGACATGATGGTCTAAGCTTTACCCAGCACTCAAGGGGCAGAGCCAGGTGGGTCTCTGAGCTCCACAGTAAGACCTGTCTAAGGCAAAACAACAAAAGATATGGTGTGGAACTAGAACCGGGCTGGGGCAGGAGGATTGCCTCAAGTTGGAGGCTTACCTGAGTTACACAGTGAGACGCTGCTCTAGCCAAGCATGCACCAGAAGCCTGGGCTATGCAGATAGTGTCTTTGAAAGGCTGGAAGCTGGCTCAGTTGCCTAGCATGAAGTCCAGGGTTCGGAACCAAGCACTTGGGGAAGGTTGGAGGGCTATCCTTGGCTAATGTTTGAGGCCTTGTCTAATGCCATCGAAAGTGTATCTCTGCCCTAGCCTGAGGTGCCAGTGAGGACAACACGCTGAGAAAAAGGTTTATTCCATCTCCAAACTAGTCTACAGAACCTGAGGGCAGGGGTGTCCCCACCAAGTCTCCAATACATTCAGTGCAGGGGTTCCTGCCCTCCCTCTAATATCTAACAGCTGCTTGGGAGTATTTACATAAAGCTGGGTGTTAAATCCAGGCAAGTCTCCGTCCCTTCTGCCAGGGGCGGGGGCAAGAAGGAAGTGGTATTTAGTCCCTCTGCGTGCCCTGCAGCTGGCAGGCAAGCACCCTGGGGACGGTTGGCACAGTGGTGACCCCCAGAAGACAGCAGTGAGCAAGCAGCCCAGCCGGAGCTGGGGACTGACCCTGAGTGAGGTCGTGAGGAGGTGAGCACTCCGAGGAGACAGGCACAAGGATCCCCAACCTTGTCTTTGGAGGAAAAAAAAAAAAAAGAGTTGGGCCTCCCATGGTCTCTAACTGTGGAGAAACTGGCAGATGTCAGAAAAGGCGCGTAGCAGGCCCCTGCCTCTGGCTCTCTGACAAGGGATTCAGGGTTATTAAAAGCAACGAGGAGCACACAGCTGGATGATAGCGCTGGTTAAGCAAATCCAAGGCCCTGGGTTCCATCTACAGTACTGGGGTCAGGCACAAAAAAGATCTCGTAAAAACCCTTTCCTCAAAAATGCCCTTGAGGATCGGGTTGGTGGTGGTGAAGTCCCTCTGGGCATGGGCACTTCAGGTGTGCTCTGGCTGCAGCTGGGATGCAGAAAGGCATGGATTCTGGCTGTCAACTGTAACAGGCAAGGGACTACAGTTCTGGACAGCAAACCTTGAGAGGAGTCCAGGGTAGAGGGGTGCCCCCCTCCCCAGCACTCTCCCTGCCTCTTTGTTCCTGGCTGCTCAGTACACTGGAGGAGGCTGGTAGCCCTCAGTAGTCTCCACATTCTGGGTGAAGGGTGGCTGCTGGTAGTTTTCCACAGAGGCACTAGGGTAGGAGGCATAGGCTGTGTTGGGATCCGGGGTGGGGTCCACGTAGTTCTGAATGAAGGCATCCACTCCAGCCTTGTATCGCTGGTAGGCCAGGGAAGCCAGCACACCCTGTGGGTGGGAGAGAGAGACCCAAGGTGTGGGCAGGGCAAGGGGACCTCAGTCTTCACCCAAGCCTCCAAACTACCCTCATGGTTCACCTACCCAGGAGAAGATGGAGAAGAAGCTGAAGGTGATGGCTGCCCGCGCTGAGTCCGCTCCTACCCGGACATCTTCGGGTTTCGTGGCTGACCACTGGTTTGTCAGGAAGCAGAAACCAACAAACCACAGGAAGGTCCAGAGAGCTAGGGAAATAACAAGGGGGAGAGTTGGCCCCAGGGACAGCGTGGATCTCCGGGGTCCAGGAGGGACACAGAGAAGGACTCTCCCAAGGCTGTGGGCTGTGTAACCTATAGAAGCAGAGGGAGGTGAGGGCTAAGGGGTCAGCTACTATGTGGGGTTCATAAGTCCAGAAGCCTGATGTTGTGCCTCACCCTTATGCCCCAACACCCAATTTCTGGAGTCAGAAAGCCTTGTGTGCCATCCCAGAGCACAGGGGGACCTAGCAGAAGCCTCAGGTGAGGTTCATGACCCTCAGCTGCTGTCAGCATCCCCTCCCAACAGTAGCAAAGCCTCTCGTAAAGCCTCGGTATACCCGTGCCACAGGCATACCCGAGAAGAGCAGGTCTCCAATGACCAGGTACTTGCGGTCAGTGGCATTGCTTATCTGGGAGAAGAAGGCATCAACCACCAGGAAGAAGGCTGAAGCCAGGAAGGCCAGCACCCCGATGGCACTGCCATAGCGGCAGGCATCCTCGTTCTGATTGAACACGCAGTATAGCTGGTCAGATGTGTGAATGTTGGTGTAGCCCTCGCCGAAGATGCAGGAGAACACGATCAAGGCCAAGACCTGGGGAGAGGAGAGTCCATGGGCCGTGGGCCAGAGCCTGTACAGACCCATTAGGGCCTAGAGAGGAGGATCCTAGCAGGACATCAGGATGTCTCCTCTCTCTGCTGATGCCCCTTTCTGAGACTGGTGTTTCAACCCCTTCTGGACTCCTGGGGCTGAGGTGACAGGCAAACTGTGGCCAGGGCATCATCAAAACAGGTCCTGACTACAAGGTGGTGGGGACTAAATAGATGGGCTATTTATTACAAAAAGGGGCGATTCCCTAGCTGCCTGACTACAGAGTGACCTTATTTAGGGTTGTGACTAAGAACAAAGAAGAATCCACCCAGGCTGGAGAGATGGTTCAGTGGTTAAGAGCACTGACTGCTCTTCCAGAGGTCCTGAGTTCAATTCCCAGCAACCACATGGTGGCTCACAACCATCTGTAATGGGGCCTGATGCCCTCTTCTGGTGTGTGTCTAAAGACAACTGCAGTGTACTCATATAAAATAAATAAATAAATAAATCTTTTTAGAAGAAGAAGAAGAATCCACCCACCTCCATTTTGAATGAGATTTGGAGTTTCGTTGGGGGAGGGGATGTTGGTTTGGGTTTTTTGTTTGTTTTGTGTGAAGGAGTTTCATTTAGCTATAACGCAGAATGATCCTGACTCCTGATCCTCCTGCCTCCACTTCCAAAGCTGGGATAGTCATGTGCCAGCATGCCTGGTTGGGCTCCCCCCAACCCTATCCCACCCTGATTGCTGGCAATTTGAACCCAGGGCTTCACACATGCTAGGCAAATGCACTACTACTGACCTACGTTTTCAGCCCTTGAGGTTGTGTGTGTGTGAGTTTTTTTGTTTTTTGTTTTGTTTTGTTTGTTTGTTTGTTTTTTTGTTTGTTTAAGACAGGGTCTCATTAGGTAGTGATGGCTGTCCTGGAGTTCAGAGAGCCTGCCTCTGCCTCCAGAATAGAATGTTGGGATTAAAGAAGACCTGGAGACTCATAACCACCTGTGACTCCAATTCTAGGGGACAAGATAACCACCTTCTGACTCTGAATACCAGGCACGCACGTAGTGTACCTTCATACACACAGGCCAACACTCATACATATGAAATAAAAATAAGTAAATAAAAAATAAAAAAGACAGGATCTCACTCCGGTTCAGGCTGGCCTGAAGTTTATGACAATCCTGCCTCAGCTTCCTCAATGCCGAGATACAGGGGTGAGCCACCACATCCCATTTGAATGAGTTTTAAATAAGGTGAGCCGCAAAATCACGGAGGTGAAACTCAGGGTTTCATCCAACCTTCCCCCCAACATCCTGCCCCAAGTCAACTCTACAGCATCAACCAACATCTTCCAGAACACCCTTCAACAGCAGCCCTGTTCCTCTCCAAGACTCCCTAGGGCAAGAGGATCCCCAGCGGGCCAGCCTTCTCCCTACAAGGACTTCCGGTTTCTTTGGCACGTCGGCCCCTCCCCTCCAGAGAACTACTAGTCTCCAGCCCCACATTGGTTCCCCTCAGAACAAGGTTCTTGGGGTGGTCAGGTCCAAAGATCTGTGAGCCAGGCTCAGATCTTGCAGGAGTCAGGGCAGAGGTGGGAAACTCACACGCAGAGACTGCCCAGAGTTTGGTAGGCCGGCCCTTTGGAATCGCCCTAGTCATTTCGCCTCCACCCCACGCCCTAAGGCTACTGCCAAGCCCACGTCAACGCGGCAGATGCAACTGAGTCTGTGGGCACCTGGCTGCCTGCAGACTCGCAGGGCCTGAGCGATCCTGCCGGGACGCTCTCCATAGGGCTGTGGAACTGGCAGTCACAAGCCCCGCCCCCAGCTGCGATGAAGCCGGAACTCCAAGGCTGGGCGCAGAGTCTGGGTCAGGACTCCTGGCACTGCCATCCTGACTGACAGGGTACAACCCAGGAGGGAGTCACTAGACTCCACCGCTAGGCTGGGAGGCTCCGGGGAGCCAGGGCACCTCCAAGGTTCCAGGCCCAGACCCCCTGGGCGCAGTGGGGCCACCCTCAATCTGGCAGCTAAAGCCTCAGCGGTCAGTGTTTTCATCCCAAGATATGGAAATCCGCCCTGCACGCCTGGTACAAGAGGGCTCGCCCCGCTTCTAGGGCGGGAGTGCATTCTGGTGGGTGAGCAGACCTGTTGCGAGCCTCTGAGAGGAAAGGAAACCCTCCTTCAGGGCGCCCGGCCAATCCCCCTCTTTGCACCCCACGTGGCTTCAGAAAGTCCCTTCCAGGTGAATTCCCTAGGCTGGGAGCCGCGGCGTGCCGGGCACCTGCTGTGGCGTGCCCCTCTCCGGCCCCTCCCACTGCCAGCAGGGCGACAGGCCGGCCTCCCCGGAGCACCTCGGGGACGTCCCGCACCAGAGCGGCCCGGACGAGTGGTCGACGGTGCGGTGGGGCCCGGCCCCGAGTTGGGGAGACAAAATCCGGAGCCACACAGTGGAAAAGGCGACAGGACGCACGGGCTGAAAGGAACAGAGACCCGGAGGGGGCGCGGGGCTCCGCGCTCTCCGCCAGGCCCGGGACGCGCGGCTGCCGCCACCTGTCGCGCTCCGCGGCCGGCGGCCCACGGGCCCTGGTACCCGGACGCGCGGCTCCGGGTCCTCTCTGGCCGACTCACCATGCTCACAAGGCGCGTCACCACCTGAGGCTGCGACACGAAGCGCCGCAGGTCGAAGGAGCCGCCAGCGTTGGCCGCGCCATAGGCCCCGCTCTCCATGTCGCCGTCGCCGCCGAGCCGCGGATGGCCGGGAACCAGCCGGATTGCCCCGCCCCGTCCCGGCCCGCCCACGGGGCGGGGCCTGCCGCCGACAGGGCGGGGCCAACCGCCGGGAAGTAGGGGCAGTGTACCCCTCCGTACTAGTAGTGGAAGCTGGCAGGAGCTTGGAGCTGCGCCTGAGGCGGCAGGGTGCTGAAGGGGGAGAAAAAGCTCACCCCTGGGAATCTGTCCTACTAAGTTCAACCAGAAAAGATCAGAGAGTCCCCAGGAAGAGACATCCTAGGCGGCCCCCACTTTACACTTACACTGTGCCCTGGTGAAGGTCCTCTCACGGAAGCCCTCCGGACACCCAAATCCCACCAATCCAGAACCCAGGCTCATAAATACCTGGACGTCACCATCCTGCTCCAGACCAAAGGACTGGGGCATAAGTTCTTGCCTAGCTCGTCAGAGGCCCCCCGGGTTCCAGCCTCTGGACTACCATAGTAATAACTATGGCCCCCACCATTCTGGTTACCCTTTGCTCTGGAGCTAAGCCTAGGGTAGGGTGAAGGACAGTCCTTTACCCACTCTTCTTGGACCTGCCAGGCAAAAGGCTCTGAAGGGCAGAGTGCCTGCACATCTCTAGACATCGTGATCATATGCCGCAAAGCACCTGGTGCTTGTTTGAGGCAGAGAAAGGCAGCAGGAGAATACAGAGTTCAAGACCAGACTGAGCTAGCTGAGGTCCTGTTTCAAACAAGCACACACACACACTGAGGAATGTTAAGTTTAAAAGTTAAAACCAGCTGGGCAGTGGTGGTGCATGCCTTTAATCCCAGCACTTGGGAGGCAGAGGGAGGCAGATTTCTGAGTTTGAGGCCAGCCTGGTCTACAGAGTGAGTTCCAGGACACCCAGGGCTACACAGAGAAACCCTGTCTCAGAAAAACCAAAAAAAAAAAAAAAAGTTAAAACCAATAAGATCGTTAGTTAATAAAACCCAGCTCCCCCCTCTTCCCCAAATAACATTTAGAAAGGGAACCAGGTGCTTACTCTGAAGGGCTTGTGTGTCAACCCAGGGCCTCACCCTCACACTGAGTCCCAAGAGGCCTCCAGACACCCTTCTGATGACAACACAACTTTGTTGCCAAGGGAACTGTGGCTGTTGAGGGGTGTAGAGGGCTGAGAAGTGACACAGAATGGAGTCACAACAAGATGGCGTTACCACAGTCACTTCAATGGGTGAAGATTAATGAGGCAGAGTCACCTCAGTAATGAGGAGGGCTGGAAAATAAGGGAGCTGAGGCAGAAACCTGCCCCGCCAGAAGGGGCGCCCCTGGGGATAAGGCAGGAGTAGGCACAAGAGGGGCTGAGCCGCCTTCTTCTTCTTCTTCTTCTTCTTCTTCTTCTTCTTCTTCTTCTTCTTTTTTGGTTTTTCGAGACTGGGTTTCTCTGTATAGTCCTGGCTGTCCTGGAACCGCCTGCCTCTGCCTCCCAAGTGCTGGGATTAAAGGCGTGCACCACCACTGCCCGGCAAGGGGGCTGAGCCTTCTAACAGTCTATCTGCACCCTCTCCTCACTCATAGAGCCATGACAAGCTGCTGGTAGGTGAGCTCAGGGCTACTTCCTAAAATCTGTCCACACACTCCATAAGGGTTTGATGAAAGAGACCTGGCTGGCAGGATTCTCCACAACCCTTCCTTCCTCCTTCCTTCCTTCCTTCCTTCCTTCCTTCCTTCCTTCCTCCCTCCCTCCCG